ATCTTTTTCAGCACTTCCATTAACTTATTTCCTATTGAACTTAGCTTATTTATTTAAATTTGCTATATCATTATATATAATATGTATAATATATGTGCATGTATATAATATTGCAGACATGGCACACACGTGTACACACATGTTCCAGATTTTCCAAGATAGCCCCAAATTTAAATGTTGTATCTCGTCATATTTCATGTCTTAATTTGGGTATTAGAAAATATGACCTGTGTAATGGGTGATGCTGATTATAAAAAAAAAAGATAGGTAATTATTATACAAAAGCAGCTTAATTCCTTGCCTCAAAGGTGCTCACATGAGAGATTATGAGAAGCTTAGTCTAGATCCTGGCTATTCAAAAGGATGACTTCAAACCAGCAGCATTGGCATCTCCTGGGATTTTGTGGGAAAGACAGATTCTGAAACCCCATCGCAGACCTTCTGAATCAGAATCTGCATTTTAACTGGATCCTTAGGCAATTCATAGTCTGTTGAAATTTGAGGAAGCACTGAGGTAGAATTCAGAAAATGGACTTGGGCAGGTACCCAGATTGAAAAGATAGATTGATTGTATCATAAGAAATTCTCAAATATAAATGAAAGTTTGGATAAGATTCACAGAGCTAAGATTATTTTAATGGAATTACTTATTTATAGCAAGAAAATTCTAAAGATCAAGGAACTATCTAGAAAATTTAAGATTAGCCGTTAGAAGATGTTGCCCAGCTGTCATCCATGTGACAGCAAAAGAATAAGAGAAAACAGACCTTCACCAGAGCACAAAGCACTTTGCTGTCATACAAGGAAGAATCTCCTGACTTTATATATTTAAAAATGGTATCACACGATATCAGGACATTCTTTTGGAAACAACTAGATAATTAATTTCCTCAAATCTATAGGTGTGACCCTGTCTGCATTTAGAGTAGAAACTAAATTGCTTCTCATGGTCTTTTCAGCCTAATCAATCCTTCTACAAATCAGCTGCTGAGTTCCAACTTTGTACTCAACCTCATGATTCAATTTTCACTAGGTCTCTTGACCAGTCAGAAAATTGGTTGCAAACCACAAAATTAACACTTTTTTGTCATTTCAGAAAATGAGGAGAGTACTCTCTATGTAGTTTCATGCAATCCTGTTTGCTTATACTATATGAATATGACTGGGAGAAGTGGCTACTTGGTGAACCTTTTTGACATCTACCCAAGAATAACCAGTGGAGTCTGGCATCCATTTGTGACAGTGGCATCACTGGGAAGTCCCCTCAAGGGTCAAGTGGTACTCCACGAGCAGCAGGTAATGTATCCCAGGCTACTCGCATGCTACAATTATGCGAAGAGTAACTTACGTTATTAGCAACCTATGACTGAAAATGGGCTTTCATAAAGATCAAGGAGAGGGGCTGCAGGGACAGGTCAGGAGCTGCACTGTATCAGTACCACAAAAGCAGTCCAGTAGCCTCCTCTCTGTAAAGACTGATCTGTATGTCTGGAAACAGGTAAGTCAGAGATTCTCAACTTCAACACGATTGACATTTAAAGCAAGATGATTATTTGTTGTGAAACATGTACTTTCTGGGGTGATAGACAACAAACAAGTAAACCAGCAGAGGATCACACCAATGTCAAGTAGTGACAGGTGTTACATATAGAAATAGGGAGTCTGAAGGAGTGATGGGGATGGGGTAGGAGGAGTTGGGAAGATGAGCAGTTTTAAGAAGAATGCATAAACATCTCCTCTAAGGAGACAGAATTTTATCTGAGACCTGAGTGGCATTTTTTTTCATGTAGAGATAGCTACAAAAAAAAACAAAACAAAGCACTGAATGGAATATACTGAGATCCACCAGTGTCTAATGATGCACAAGTTCCATCCATCGCTGCTATAGATTAGTGCACTAAGATTGCACTAATGGAAAGTACAGATGCTCAGAGTCAGGCTAAAAATAATTTCAAAAAGAAGATATAGATCAAAAGACAGGCTGGATTTCCATTAGTGAGAATTCCAAAGGTCTATGTTAATTTGTGCTATACCAATAGAAAGGAGTCTAAAGTTTTTGTATACCTATTATCTACATAGTATTCAACAAGTACTACACTAAGTGTATTATTCATTTAACAAATATATATTGTGTGCCTAATATTGCAGATACTGCAGAAAACACAAAAACAAAAAATCTTTTCCTCAAAAGCTTACACTCTGGTGCAGGAAAAACAAACAATCAGCAAAACAAGCAATTCATTAAACTGTATTTTAAGTAAGAAGGTGAGAAGCAACAGAGAATAAGATTGCAACTTAAAATAATGTAGGCAGGGATTGCCTAACTGAAAGGTGATATTTAAACAAAATGAAGACCAGATATCAGGAAAAAGAAAGTTCCAGGCAAAGGCGAATAGTAAATTCAAAAACCCAGAGGCTGGAATATGCCTCTTCACCTCTAAAGTGTGGTAGGAAAGCTGAATTGGGTGGAGGAGTAAAAGGAGGTGAGATAAAGAAGTCACAAGGTGGGTTGGGTGGGGACGAGGTGGGAGGGCAGTGGGAAGAGTGGAAGAGTAAAAGGAGGTGAGATAAAGAAGTCACAAGGTGGGTTGGGTGGGGACAAGGTGGGAGGGCAGTGAGAAGAGTGGAAGAGATAGTGTAACGTCTTGTAGGCCATTGAAGTTTCTAAACCTATGAGTGAAAGGGGAAGAAAACGGAGGGTTTTGAGCAGAGAACTACCATGATCTGACATATTTTTAAAGGATTTCTCTGGCTTCTATGTGGTGATTGTCCACAGGTATTAGGACAGAGTGAGGGAGACTAGTTAAGAAATTCTTGCCGTGACCCAGGTAGTTTGGAGGAGGATGGAGGTCATAAGTAATGATAGAGTCTGGATATGTTTTGAAGGTAGAATTTACCAAGAGAAGGGATTCTGCTCCCAGCATGAGAGTGTCAACGACAGGTTCTTGTGTTCTTGTTTAGAATGAATTCACAGACACACAGAGGAGTGGGATAAGCAAGTAGCCTTTATTAAGCAAAGAAGAGCACACTCTCGGAGAGGAGAGCAGGCGGAAACAGCCTGCAGAAAGCTGCTGCTTCTGTACCCAACTATTGTTGAGTTATAACTTTCATTCTTATGGGTGAAGAGGAGTGCGTTTGGGGGTGGGCTCTTCCTAGAAATGGGTGGTCTTAGGGCTGGGTCTCTGCTACTTCTACCTCACATCGGCTGAGGGAGTCTCAGGCCTAACAGGGTCATACTGGGAATGTCATAGGCTCATGTGTGTGACAGGAGTGGGAGGCTTCCCTGGGGTAATTTTATGTTAATAGTATTATAATGAAGGTATAAGTAGGCAATGGTTATCTTGGTTCAACCTTGTTTTTTTTTTCTTTTTTTTTTTTTTTTGAGTTGGAGTCTCACTCCATTGCCCAGGGTAGAGTACAGTGGCTTGCTCATGGCCACCACAGCCTTGACCTGCTGGGCTCAAGTGATCCTTCCACCTCAGCCTTCCAAGCAGCTGGAACTACAGGCATGCACCACCATACCCAGCTAATTTTTTGATTTATTGTAGAGATGAGGTCTCATCAAGTTTCCCAGGCTGGTCTCAAGCCCCTGGGCCCAGGCAATCCTCTCATCTCGGCTTCCCAAAGTGCTGGGATTATAGGCGATTGATGTACATTCTCCAGGGGTCTCTAAGCTAGTTCCTGCATCAGTGGTCAGCTCTTGACCACAAGCATCTTAGAAAGATGGACTACAATGCTGCAAGATGTATCTGATTAGAGTCTAACAGTTAGATAGGTGAGAATTTTCCAGTAGCTAGGTCGCTTGCTTGTTTGTGTGGTTCTGTACCAACCACTGTAGGCATCAATGAGCTTGGAACTTTCCTACAGCCCTAAAGTTTACCTAGTCTAACCTGCCCACTCTATCAGAACCAACAGGATTTTCTAACAGATCAGATGTGTAGGGTAAAAGAGGGAAGAATTCAGGGCAACTTTAAGATTTAGGGCCAGAGCAGCTTGAATGGAGTTGCCGTCGAGATGGGGAAGAAACCAGTTTGGGAGGGAAGCTCAGATAACATTTGACTGAATAAAGAGATGTCTATTAAACATCAAAGTAGATTATGAAACTGGAGTTCAATGGAAAGGTCAGAGCAAGAAATATAAATTTGGGAGTCATGGGCGTATAAGTGTTATGTAAAGCCATGAGATGGAAAGAAGTCACCAAGGGAGTGAACGTGGGTGGAAAACAGAAGTCCAGATACTAAACCTTGGAGCAATAAAATATTAAGAAATAAAGAAAATGAGGAAGAATCAAAAACAAGGATTGAGAATGAGTGGCCAGTGAAGGAGATGAATAAACTGAGGAGTATAGGATCCTGGAAGGCAAGTGACGAATGTCTCAAGAGAAGGAACAATTTTTAAATGCTGACAATGTGTCAAGTAAGAGATTATATAAATTATCTCATGTTATTTCTCCAACTCCCAGTGATATAACTGTTAACTGTATTTACACATGAGGAGATTGAGGCTCAGAGTGTTCAAGTAATTTGTTCAGCAAGTACATGGTAGAACTGAGATTGATGCCCAATTGGATTGGCTCTACCAGAATAAGCTTCACTTCCTCTCTCACTCACTGCAGATCTTGGGGAAAAGATTAGCTTGAAAAATTAAAAAGTATGATAGGAAAATATTAAAAAATTCAATGTTATTACTTGTAAGTATTTAAAAAGCAAAGTGTTACCAAGAAACAATATTTTTAGACTGTAATCTAATCAAGAGGAAAATATTGCAAGTCGAGTAGTTCATTAAGAAAAAAGTCAACTTTTACTTTACTCTTTGCCTACATAATTACCATAAATTCTGAGTTAATAAGTACTTCTTAGTTTTATCCTCACCCTTTATTTTACTTTCTCCTGTGAACAAAATTTATAAATATCCAGATATTTCTTATAAAACTTTGTGTCCAGAAAATTGGAATGAGGATTTTACTTCATATAATTCCAACAAAATATCAATAACATTGAATTGAATTGAATTCTATAGCCAGACTGATCTGTCATAAAAAGTTCAGAATATCTGGTGAATTGTAATTCAGCAAATCAATCACATTTAGATGAGAATCTAAATTTGGATTATTTATTCAAACAGCCCCGCCAAATTTTCAGCTGTCAAATTAACATATACAAATTCTTTAAAAGTACCAAAGTTTTAGATTCTCAGCAAGTGTTTTATTTTCTCAAAAATTCAATTATTTGGCAACATTGCTGATTAGTGTTCTGTTCAATTACAACGACTTTTGTCAAGAAAACATGTTTTTCATTGTAAAGCTGTGCTTGACTTCCACAGCCAGCACCTTCCTCCTGGCACTCATATGCTGCTTTACTTACCCCTCTGGCCACAGTTTCAACAGTTTTCCAGAAAGCTACTCTGGCACCCTGAACAGGCACGATCCACTTATCTGGACACTTCCGCTCTACCTCTCTTCTGAACTGCCTCCTCTTTTCCCAGAAAGGATATCTTTCCTGTCTGTTTTATAATTTGGCCCTGTTAGGATGTCAGACCTGTTGGATTTCATATGAACAACACACAGCTGTGAGCTGTGTAATAATTCAAATGGAATAAAAAATGAGTAGACTGCCATCAATTTCTTCTTCCTCATTCTTTGCTAACTGAAAATGAAGCTAAAATATTGTGGAGATGTACTTCCATGAATTCACCTATTCCTTGTCTTTTTAACATAAAGCTTTGCTATGTATGCTTTGCTTCCTTACCCCGAATTGTACCCCACATCTTTAAAATTAAAAAAAAAGTTGTTCAAAAATTCCTTGCTAAAATAAAATCTTAAGTGAGGAGGAAAGGGAAACTTTGCCATGCCTAAAAATAAAGACCCACCCCTTCCCCACCCTCCATGAGATTATTTATTACATCTGTACAAAGTTTAGAATTTCAGGCTTTAGGACATTGAGGTCATCCAGAGGTTACTTTTCTCCCAGTCAAATACAAACATAATAAAATTGCTCACTTGCTTCTCCTCCCTGCCCCCCTTAAGGGAGCGCCAAAGCCACAGTTACATGTACTCATGTGTGATGCAAAGTTCTATTTTTAAACTCAGACAGAACCTATCATTAGTCATTTACAGAAGGAAACCATTAACATCTAAAAGGATGGAGCAACAGAACTCCCTTCATGTTGCCAATTGCTTATAAACTAATTCTAAATACAGCAATGGCTGGAAATATATGTTTTCTGTTACTTAGAAAGATACAGTTTTTCAGTTCACGTATGCCAAATTATAAATAAATAAATATTAGATCCTAAAAAGGAAGAAAAATGGAAAACTGTTCTAACTTATTCTTTTGCTTAATCATATTTATTTAATCAACTTTTTCCGTGTAATCATTTTTGGGGAAAAAACATTATTTTTAGGACTTTCTGTTGCCTAGAAAAAAGTTAATATTATCCCAAATTGCTTAAGTACTAAGAATTCATGTTAATGTTGTACATATTTATCACACAAGAAAGAGTTTCTCCATCAAAAAATACTCAAGAAAGATTTAATCTAAAATGGTGACCAAATGTTTAACTTTTTTTTAACTTTTAAATTTTTTATTTTAAAGATGTGGGATACAATTCAGGGTTAGGTACACAAATATTCATTATGCAGTTACCCTTGTAACTTACTTCTTGAGGAAAACTAAGATATTACTACCATTTTCAAAACTGTTAAGTGCCAGTGCATAATACTTCTTATATGTTAAATTTTAAAAGAATAGCACACATCATTTTTTTTTTTTTTTAAGTTACAGGATCTCGCTTTGTCACCCAGACTGGAGTGTGGTGGCATGATCATAGCCTCCTGCACTCAAGGGATCACTCCTGCCTCAGCATCCCAAGTAGTAGGACTGTAGGTGTGCACTATCATTTCAGGTCTTTTTTTTTTTTTTTTTAAGTTGGAGTCTCACTCTGTTGCCCAGACTGGAGTGCAGTGGCCGCTGCTGGCCACTGCAGCCTCGACCTGCTGGGCTCCGGCGATCCTTCCGCCTCAGCCTTCCAGGTAGCCGGAATTACAGGTACGCACTACCACACCCGGTTGATCTTTTTATTTATTGTAGAGATGAGGTCTCCCCTAGTTGCCCAGGCGGGTCTCGATCTCGCGGGCTCAGGCAATCCACTCACCTCAGCCTCCCAAAGCACGGGATTACAGGCTGAGCCACCAAGCCCGGCTCCAGCTAATTTTTTTTAGTTTTTGTAGAGACAGAATCTCACCGTATTGCCCAGACTGGTCTTGAACTCCTGGCCTCAGCAGTCCTCTTGCCTCAGCTTCCCAAAGTGCTGAGATTACAGGAGTGAGCCACTGCACCTGGCCCTAATACATATTCTTATGGAGAATTACGTATCATACAGAATGATGCATTCTAAGGGTGATGTGTGTGGAAAAATGAAAGCTTTGTTAACATGCTTAGTAAAAATGTTTAGTACAACCAAGATTCAGAGTGTATGGTCTGAAGCAAGCTATGTGGTGCAGATGCATTTTAATTCTGAGCACTTCAACAAAATTAGCTTGTAAAATAAGTCTGAAACTACTCTATGAGGTGTTAGGTTTGCAGATGAATTATTAATCCTTTTACATTTGTTTTTATTTCTTTAACTAGATTACATATTAGGGGGCAAAACCCGTGATTAATTCATCACTGTAGTCTCCTTTGTGTTTTAAATATAAGCTACTCAGTAAATATTATGGAATAAATGCATAAACATTTCATATTCTGTTTTCTATATTTTGCAAAATGTTAATTTTTTTGTGCTTTGTGACTTTATTTCCCCCAAAGGAAGTCCTTTAAATGAAAAGGTCATAAGGGTTAGGATTACTGGAGGAACCCCCCCCCAATTTAAAAGAAAACAGAAACAAGAAAGAAATTGCATAACAATAGGCCTGATAAACAACTTGCAGGTGCCCTTTGGCAACCTGTTCGTCTAATCCTCAAACGTCTTTCTATTTTAACTTAAAAAGCCAACTTCTTGACAACCCTTTAAAATATTTAATCTTTTCTGGCTTTCTCATTTTTAAGTTCTTATTTCATATGTTTTTGTTCATGTATTTCAACGCATGAGATTCATTTCTTTTCCTGAAAAAGGGTTTCTAATTACTGAGAGATTACTTCATTGCATAGCTGTGATTAATAATGCTGAAGAAATCTCGCTTGTACTTTATTACAGCACCAATTCTGAAAGTTCTTCAAGCTTAGTGAATTTCGAGAGGAAGAAACACTCATTACTACTAGCTAGGTTCTTGGAGTCCTTCATATTTCTTGCTAACTCATATTTATATTTATTTTTTATCTATTTTTTGAATTGAACCTGGATTTGTGAAAATTATAAATGAGATTTAATTATGCACAAATAAGAGAACTTTCAACAGGTCATTCTCTAAGTGTAATTTTGGTAAAAGTAAATGAACTTTTAAAAATTATCAATGCTCTTAATTTCCTTGTTACTATACAATAAGCAGAATCATGAATCAGCTAGCTTATATACTGAAGGGAATGGTTTTAAGATTCTTCAAAGAGAATACCTTCTGCATCACATAATTAAAAATATCTTCATAAGCCCACCTAAAACTTTAAATTTTATATTAAGGAAAATCATTCAGTGTCTTCAAGATATCTCTTAAGGATTTTAATATTGTTGTCTTCGGGATTTCAATATTGTTGTCTTCACTTTGATTTATCACTGTAACCTTCACTTTCAGGTTGCCAAGAGGCTGCTGTTTTTTTTTTTAAATGGAACAAATCTTTAGTTTTTTACTATTTTCTTTATTTGCAGAGTAATGTCATCCTGTTGTTAAATACCACTGACCGTACCCTTCGTCGTCTCATCCTCCCTTTAGAAGAAGTAACATCTAAGAAACCTTCGTGGTGGAACAAGGAGGAAGCTGTAAGGAACACCAAATTTGCCAGCAAATTACCAAAGATATTCTATAGTTTTCTAAACAGACAGATGCACACCTGCCCATCCCTTTCAATGTCTTTCCTTTACTGTAATGCACTTTTTGTGCACTTGTAGATTTTAACATGACACAAAGATATAGCTATAGATGCATGTATAATTAAGTATCAGTAGCTGCTTTCTGTGTCCATCATACTAACATGAAGATTTGTCAGACTGAACTAATAATAATAGAACATTAATAACTATTTGAATATAATATTTATAACAAATGTCTAATCATGCAGTCCAATTTAACCTGTTCTCCAGTTATGTAGTTATGTTTTGGATTTATATAATAAAACCATCAGTATGACACCTGATTTTCCCTATTAGACAAGTGGATATTTTAGTTAATAACTAAATTAAACTAGTAAATATAGTTTAGACCAAACCACAAGAATTCATTTTGTCATTCAGAAAACAGTAAGTGAATATAAAATAAGGTTTACACTTTGCCCCGCAGGACAGCATAACATAAGTCTTAAAAGACCACAAAAAAAGAAAATTTTTTAAATACCATAAATGTATCTAAATCCAAGAAGCAAAATATTTTCTATGTATTTATGTGGCAGTGTAAATTCCATGGTTAACCACTAGATAGCAGATTTATTTCTAAACAGTATTTGGCCGCACTTGGTGGTACAAGCCTGTCCTATAGTCTCAGCTGTGCAGGAGGACCGCTTAAGCTAAGGAGGTCAAGGCCAGCTTGGATAGTGAGATTCTATCTCTAAAAAAAATTGTTTTAAGAAAAAAATTAAAACATACATCAATAAACAATATTTGGTGTTATTTTGAAAGTTCATTCTGAATAGGTTTCAGTACATATTTCACAGTAAATTTTAAAATATAGTTTAATCCATGTTACCATAGAGTTTTGGAGTGGACAAACAGACAGCTTATTTGAGAATTACATGTTTTACATGTTGAAGAACTTTATTTTATTTAAGGGGATGCAGCTAAAGAGAGACATGACTGTATCTGACACATTCAATATGTTTTTTTCCTCTAGGAAACTTATAAAATGTGTAAAGAATTCTCACACAAAAACTGGGTAGTGTTCTACAAAGAAAAAGGGTAAGCTCTTTATTGTAAAAGATTTAAACTGGAGTCCTTATTTAGTCCATCCCATGTCCTGTTTTAATTATACTTGTTTATTATAAAACTAATGTAACCAAATTATAAATTTTTTGTATAAAAGTAAGTCTTCTCACATAACAGAATATTAAGAAACAGACATAAGAAAAGCTAGCACTCACAATCCCATGACACAGCCACTGCTAACAAGGCAGTGGTCACTTTTTATTTTTTTATTGTGCACATAGTTTAGAATTTTGTATATCTGGATTTGTCGATTAACATTTTTCCGTGTTGTTACTTAGTCTTAAAAACATTCTTTTTAGGGTTGCAGGGTATCTCATGAAATGATTATGCCATGCTTACCCCACCATTATCCTCACCCTTTCAGATATGCTCTTCTCTTTTTTTTTTTTTCCTATTTTTTAAATTTATTTTAAAGATGTGGGGTACAATTCAGGGTTAGGTATACAAGTGGTCAAGATATGCTTTTCTTCTCCTTTTCCAGGAGCAGCCTGACTGTGCTGGATGTTCTAGAAGGGCGAACTCATACCATCTCACTTCCCATCAACCTCGAGACAGTTTTCCTCGTAGCAGAGGACAAATGGCTTCTGGTAGAGAACAAAACAAATCAGTGGGTAGATCTATTTAGTATCTAATGGAGTGTGCTATAACTCAACCTTATTTATCAATTATCCAACATCCTTACTGCTCTTTCTTGTGTCTGTCTTGTAACAATTTCTGTGTTTGGCAGCATCTCTATAGATGAAAGTTACAAGGAGGAGGGGCTTAAAATAAATTAAATGTCAACTTCTCAGAGTATGACATTAAAATTAACAGTAAAAAAAATAATGACTTTTACATAGGATCTATACTTATTTGGGCTTTTTCCTAATGGCACATTGAGAATTCACTTTATTCTTGCCAAACTGGAGATACTTCAAAGTATATTTTCAGTTTATCCTCTCTTCAAAAAGCCACAGTCTCCATCCTAGATCTGTTGCCTTTTTGTAACTTCATAGAATCTAAACCTTAGAAGTTTCTTTCCTTTTTGTCTTGTGTATTCCTATTTGGTTATGGTTATGGTTATGGTTATGTTTGTGTTGCTTCCCTCCTTCAGACCATACGCTTCCAGATGAAAGGCAGTTGTGTGGTACTTGTCATATATAGAGTACACAGTAAACTGAGTTCACCTTCTTCATGCATGACGTCCACTAGCCCCTGTGCTAACCAGCAAAAGTGGCCCACTGCAAAGGATTTCTGGCTATTTATACAACTATATCTTAGAAATCTTAAAAATAAGTAGATCAAGGAGATTATAGTGGTGACAGTTTCTAGCTGATCACAAATTAGAAGTCATGCTCTCTCACGGGCTGATCAAAGAGTCACAGGGTATGTCCCATTAGAGGTTTGCTTTTGTTTTTTGTTATTTTATCATCCCTTTCTCTGATAGAAAGTGTTCGGTTGGATTTGGGAGTCCTATATAACTGTGTTGTTACTGTTTAGAATATAATTTTGACATAATGTTTAAAATATAATTTTTAATTCATGATGAAATTCTGAAACAGCAAATTATACTTAGTAGAAAAAGGCTGAGGGAAATCTAATTTGTTTTAGTCTGGTTTTATAATTATTAGAGAAAAAATAACTTTTCACATAAGTTAGATGTTTTGTTTGTTTACAGGAAATATCTTTTAACTAAGCCTGCACACGTCGAATCTGAGGGCAGTGGGGTTTGCCAGTTGTATATGTTGAAGGAGGAGCTGCCTAGCACAGGGTTTGGAGTTACACAAGGTAAGTACTATGTTCTGTGTTTATGGCTGTATAAGTGCGTGCTTGTACATACACTGTCCTCTAGAGTGACTTAAGAACCATAGCATCACCTAATGTTAATTTTATACCAAAAGAAAAAATTTAGTCACTGCAGTAGAACTAGTAAGTAAGAATCTACCATTTTTCATCATCATAAGGAAGCCTACTTTTTAAAGCCTTATCCTTGAATTTTTTTAAGTGATAAATCAGAATTTTTTAATACATTTAAGCTCTAAGTGTAATTTAGGATCTCTTTCCTTTTTTTCCCAGAGACCATCAGGATTTGTACATAATTCATCATAAGTTTTATGGAGTAAATAGTAGCTATGTAAAAAATATAAAATGTATTATTGCCAATAATGGGTTGGGTCACTCTCACATCTTTTCTGCAGGGAGCTATTAATAATAATATTTATAGCTAATAAAATTTTGAATTCTGTAAATATTTAGAATCAGTTTGATAAGATACTTTGATTGTAAAAATGATGTTTTCTCAAGCAATAGCCTGTGAATGTAATTTAAAGTGTTTCCTCTTTTTTATCTTGTTCTTTTCTGTTTGAATTGTTGAGAATGAAATCTTGCAAAAATTAATTCCTGGAGCATTGTAAGGGGCATATAGTGTCTAATGTTTGTCTGACACTTCTTCAGAAACAGAGTTCAGCATACCTCATAAAATTTCAAGTGATCAACTATCATCTGAAAATCTAAGTTCAGCTGTGGGGCAGAAGATTGCCTCACCCAACCGAATTCTCTCAGATGAGAACAATTATGCAACAATAGTTGTTGGTTTCCCAGATCTCATGGTGAGCATCGATTTTTTTAAATTATTGAACAAATATTTCTTCCCCCTTAAGCCTGCTTGAGAGTTAATTAAAAATGTTTTATTTTTCTGGTAAACATTTTAGATCAAGTCTGCATTCCAAATCAGTCATTAAAAAATTCATTCTACCTATAAAGTTTCATTACTTTTTAAAAATTAATGTTAAAAAGTGCAAAACATTGTTACCAACTGCAGATTCTTAGACTGTCATGTAATAGAAATCAACACGAGGCCAAACAGTTTCCCAGATGAGGCTTTATTGGGGACTTATACCTGGATACCAGAGAAACAGCACAGGGGGAAGAGTTCCCAGCTGGCCCTTGGAAGAGGGCTGACTGGGGCCTTTTGTTAGATAAGGGACGGTGCAAACTCAAAGGAAAGGTATGTTAATATGATTAGGGAGGGGTTCTAACCTTGAAAGCTAGATACATACTTCATACGTCGCAAGTACACAAAATGAGGGATAGATAAGCCCCCCCCCCCACCAGGAGTGGGGATTTTAGTATTATAATGAGGCAAGGGGTTAGGATTAGTCATTTTTTTTCCTGGATTTATACGCTTGGGGGTTAATTCTTAGTGAGATTTGTGTCAAGATGTTGCTTATCTCGGTTTCTTCAGATACACTTGCAAGGTCAGTGGGTATGTGTGGAGAGATTCATTAGTGGGGTTCTGTTTCACAGTGAAATAATTTACTAAAGGGAAATGAGAATTCTCCCTATGTGGGAGCTCATGTGATACAGTTAAATGCTGAACCTATTTTATCATGTTATCTTAATGTGTGCACATAACATCTCCAAGAAACAATTTGAGACTAATATAATAGCATGTTCTCTAAAATTTTTTAAAGGTAAATTTATTGGGTTGTCATTACTGAAGATTAAATTTTTCAACACTCATGAATATCAATTCACTTTCCATTGAGTTTTGCTCTGATTTATTATATCTTTGCAGCATCCAGATTATACTATTATGACTAATGATATCAACTTATTTTTCTCTTACTTGAGTCCTTCTTCTATTATCTACTGTTATCTATAAAGTAGAGGCTATTTGTAATTGACTTCAAGTGAAACTGAGCACAATCTTCCCTTGATGGAAATGTGGGGAAATGAAATATAAAAATTACTTCAGTTCAAGTTGTCATCTAATAACCTTAGATGTAACTCCATGTGTTTTGGTTGAATATTTCATTTTTATAATCTCCTTTGTGGCCTTTAGGTGAGATGATAGAATCTTTTAAAGATAAAAATATGGACTCTGCTTGATAGTATACCAGTTTCATATACCTCAAATTTTTAATGTAATTAATGAATTGTGAGTACTTCAGGATACACAACATTTGAAATCCAAAACCTAATGGATAATATGTGACTTAGGACATATGCTTTACTCATTATCAAGTAAAAAGCATCTCCTTTTATATTATATAACTCAAAATGAAGCATGTTGTTGGAATACAGTGTCTACAGCAGCCTTGAATTAATGAAAGAAAGAGATGTATTTAATGTGCTTCTCACTATTCTTGCTTCTATGAACAGAAAAATTATTGGAACTTTTTTTCTGAAGGTGGAACTATTTTAAAAATTGATCTTCTAATCACTACCTTCAGACTGAAGAAATTAGTCTAGAAATATAATGTTACTATAAAAAGATTGGAAAATAAAAGCTGAGTAGAAGGCACTGTTTTTCTTAACCTTGTAGAAATTCTTTATAATCTGTAAGTGACCTTGTTAAATTAAAATATATATCCCTACTACTTAGAATGTTACCCACTACATAGCAGGTATTTAATGAATATTTGCTAAATGGAAAATTGGAGTCAGCTAGGCAGCCTTTATGATAACACATTTTTAGGCCCCAACACAATAGTCAGGCACTGTGCTAATCTAAACCCTTTCATGCATGATAGTTAATTTTTGCAATAATTCTGTGAGGTTTTACAGGTGAAAAAAACAGAAACAGAGAGAGGTTATATTCCCTAGGCCATAAAAACTAGAAACAGTGGGATTTGAACTCAAGTGTGACTAGTTCTCTAATCTGTCTTCTTTCTACCTCAACACACTTCCTTTCTGCTTTTATGTGAATTTCTTTGTACTCTCTATAGAACTATCAACAAAGGAGTATGCCACCTCTTATTAACTTTTTTTTTTTTTTTAGAAAGCAAGATTTATTGAGAGGACAGGAAAGCTCCCACAGTAGGAGGGGACCTGAGGGGGTTGCCCAATTAACTTTTTATACAGTTATCAGTGGTACTTAAATTATTATAAACTGATATAACTTTCTTTTTTTTCTTTTTTTTTTTTTTTTGAGTTGGAGTCTCACTCTGTCGCCCAGACTGGAGTGCAGTGGCTGCTCCCGGCCACCGCAGCCTCAACCTGCTGGGCTCCTGCGATCCTTCCGCCTCAGCCTTCCAAGTAGCTGGAACTACAGGCATGCGCTACCACGCCCGGCTGATTTTTTGATTTATTGTAGAGATGAGGGCTCACCAAGTTGCCCAGGCGGGTCTCCAACCCCCTCAGCCTCCCAAAGCGCAGGATTACAGGCTGAGCCACCAAGCCCGGCTAACTTTCTTAATCCTAATACCAAATAGCTATAAAAACCTATTGCAAATATCCTCAATATGAAACATTAAAAGCATTCCTTTTCTTATCAGGAATACAACAAGGATACACCACTTCTAGTTAACATAGTACTGAATGTTTTTGACATGATACATATTGAAAAAAGTAATTAATTGTATTCCATCAAACTTTAAAGCTTGAATGTCTGTTAAAAGACTCTTTTAAGAGAATGAGAAAGACAATATATAGACTGGGATAAAATATTTGCAAGCCATGTTTGCAACAGAAAACTTATATCCAGGAGATAATTAAGAAGGCAAAAAAAGTCCAGTTTACAAATGAGCAAACAGTAGGCCAGTGTGAGGTGTCAGAGGACAGAGTCCAAGCAGAGTAAGGACATCCATGATGGGGGAGGGGTAACCACTCGTGATGAGCATCAAATCCAAGCAGAATGTAGATGACATCCCCTGAAGGGGTAGCCTGGCATGAGATGTGGGATAAGTAAGGGGAGGGAGGTATCCCTGCCTCATACTATCCACAAAAAGAAATTCCCGTTCATTGCCAGACCATTGCCGCTATCGCCTTACTAGACTGGTGTAGCCATGTGCTCTTTGAGTTGTGGCTGTCGCCGTGTTTCCCGGCTTTGGTCCCTTACCCACCTTGGAGAGGTGACTCTCCTCTTTCTCTCTCTCTCTAGTTTGCTTCCTAAATAAACTATATTTTCTAATGTAAAAAAAAAGAAACACAGAATTCCTGATATACTAAAGACAAATGTGAAAGACAAAAAGTTAAAGCTTCTGGAGAAAATGTAGGAAGATATCTTTATGATCTTGGGAAGGATAAATACTCATATTGTAAAATTTTAAAGTAAAGCAAGGGAAATAATAACACAAAATTCTAAAAGAGTTCAATCTAGAGGGGACAGAGAAAGATGTTATTGGGCTTCAAAATTGATAGTTATATTCTATTCCTTATGCCAAACAATAGATACTTTCCTGTTCATGTTAGTATTTTAAAACTAATTATATTGCTCTATTCCCTCTTTTTAGTGGCAGTTTATTTAAAGATAAAAATTTTGACTTGTGTATTTCACACTTGTCTGAAAATTATAATTATTGATAAAGCAGATGTTTCCTTTACCACATTAAAAAAGGTTGAGATATTATTCAATTTTCTTATACCTGTGAAACACCTTGAGCTTATCACTAGTGTCTGGTTAAAGGGCTGCATTGTTAAGGTTGTGATAAATGTAGTATATGACACTTCAGTACTTTCATCTCTTCTTTTTTCTTTCTTTTTTTCCAGTCACCCAGTGAAGTTTATTCTTGGAAGAGACCATCATCTTTGCATAAACCAAGTGTCACTGATACGGCATTCTATGGAGGAAAGAAGAAAACTACAACTCCAAAACAGAGCAATTGTGTAACTCTATTAGATATTAATCAGGTAGTCAGGATTTTGCCCCCAGGAGAAGTCCCTCTAAAAGATATCTACCCAAAAGGTAAGAAATTTACCCATTTCTAACTGACCAAGGTAGTTAAAGTTAGCTCGCTTTTGGTAGGGGATATTTATCGTTATCATTTTATACTTATAAAGATGGATCATTCAGACAAGTCTAGAAATAGCCATAAAACCTATATATATATTCAGAAAGGTCTCACTCATTTTTTACATAGTATATGGTTGTAGCCACTGCTGTTAGAACTAATCTTCATTTGCATTACAGTCTATAAAGTAACTTTTACTTAGGACATGTTTTCAAAGTGCCTTTAAAAATGATTCTGCTATCAGTTGTAGAAACTGGGGTCTGACTTTTGTACTAAACTCCTGAGACTGAAGGCCAAAGACTTACTATGCAAACGGATTCTCTTAGTGCTCTCAAAGTCAACTTGTATATTTATTACTACATAACATATCCAAGTCTTGATAAATTCACTAATCTTCAAAACCCAAATCTATTGTTAGCACGCTCTCTAATATACACATGATAAAATTCTGACACAGAAACAACACGACTGGCCCAGAGTCACCCCACCAGTGGCCAGCAGAGCCAAGGTTTGCACCACCGTCCTCCAATCCTAAATCGAGAGAAATTCTCATTGAACCACCCTGGTGTCCATCATGATGAACAGTGAGTACTGTGACAGGAATATTCATAAAGTAGTAAATAAATGCAGAGAAAAAGCTTACAACCCAGACTAGGAATTACGAGTTGACTCTTAAAAGATGAGTGGGAGTTAATCAATTGCAGGAATTAGTCCAGGAAAAGGGAACCCTAGGTGAAAGGTAAGGACTTGGCAGACAACTCCAGGAATTACAATAAGTTCTATACCAGAGCTTATATACTCTCATTCACGTAGAAACATGGGGTTCACCTTTAATACCTCTTCTCCCTCATCTTTCACATCTAATCCATCAGCAATCACCATGATCTTTTGATACAACTTAGCAAATATATCCTGTACCCACCCACTTGTCTCCAGTTCTTTTGCCAATATCCCATCCCAAGCACCACCATCGTACACTGGGAATATTGTCCCAGCTTCCTGGCAGTGTTACCTCTTCCATTCTTTCCCCCTCCTACCTATTCTCCACATATCAGACAGAGTAATATTTTTAAAGTACAGTGTACATTTGTTCTTATTAAGTCCCAGTTAGTGCTCAGTAAAATTAATCCTTTTCAGTGTATAGTTCCGTTAGTTTGACAAACACAATCAGTTGTGTAATCAACACTGCAATTGATGAAGAAGAGTTTCCCAGCCTATCACTAATCTGATTTCTGCCCTTATAGATTTGCTTTTATCAGAATATTATATGTACGGAATCATACATTATATGGTCTTTTGAGTCTGGTTTCTTCCTTTTAATATAAGGTATTTGAGAATCATTTATGTTGTATGTACCAGTAGTTTGTTCTTTTTTATTGCTGAGTGATTACCTATTATACAGATGTACCACAGTTTATTTATTCACAAGCTGATAGATATGTGGGTTGTTTTCAGTTTCTGCAATAATGGCTAAGACCATTATGTACATTTGTGCATAGGTTTTTAGGTGAGCATAAGTTTTTGCTTCACTCGGGTGAATACATAGGAATGGCATTTTTGCATCATATGATAAAATTGTCAAACTGTTTTCCAAAGTGGCAGTGCCATTTTGCATTTCTGTCAACAATGAATGAGAGTTCCAGTTGCTCTGCATCCCTGTCAGTACTTGGTATTGTCTGCTTTTCACCATTCTAATGGATATATAGTGACATCTCATTATGATTTCAATTTGCATTTTCCCTAGTGCCTAATGATATTGAATATTTTTTCATGTGTATCTTCTTTAATGAAATGTCTCTTAATAAAAATGGAAAAAATGTACATCATTGACTTGTTTCAGTTCTGAGAGGGAATGTGTTCAACTTTTCTCCTTTCAGGTTGACATTGGCTGTGAGTTTGTAATATATTGTTTTTATTATTATGAGGAATGTTTGCTCTGTGCCTGTTTTTCTGTGAGTTTTTTATCATGAAGGGATGCTGGATTTTATCAAATGCTTTTATGGTATCTATTGAAATTATCATATGTTGTTTGTTTTTAATTCAGTTAATGTAATGGATCATGATTATTGACCTGTGTATATTGAACCATTCTTGGGATAAAATTCAATTGATTGTAGTGGATTTTTTTTTACGTGCTGTTGAATTTGGTTTACTAATATTTTGTTGAGAATTTTCACATCTGTGTTCATCAGGAATATTGGTCTATAAGTTTTCATTTTTTGTTGTCTTTCCCTGGCTTTAGTATCAGGGTGATACTGGCTTCATAGAATTAGTTAAGGAGAATTTTCTCTTCTTCGGTCTTATGGAATAGCATTAGTAAGATTGGTACCAGTTCTTTGAAAGTCTGGTGGAATTTGGTTGTGAGCCTGTCAGGTCCTAGATTGTTTTTGTTGGGAAGCGTTTAATTACTGTTTCAATCTTGCTACTCATTATTGGTCTGGTCAGGGTTTCTATTTCTTCCTGATTTAAGTTTGGTGGTTGTATGTTTCCAAGAATTTATCCATTTTCTCTAGATTGTCTTGTTTGTTTGCATAGAGGTATTTAGAACAATCAGGCAAAAGAAGGAAATAAGCGTATCCACATTAGAAAAGCAGAAATAAAATTATCTCTGTATGCTGACGATATGATCACATACCTAGAGAATCCTAAAGATTCCTCCAAAAGACTCCTGGACTTGATAAGTGAATTTAGTTAAGTTTCAGAATACAAAATAATGCTATGTATTATTTTGTGAATGATAAATACCAAATTCAAGTTTAGGACGGAGGTTACTTCGGTTTATCAAAAGTAGAGAAGAGAACACTTTGACCATATTGGTAATGACTTACCAATATGGATGGTGTGCAAGACCTCTGTGTTCTCCTCTTCTCCACTTTTGACAAACCAAAGTAACCTCTATCCTAAACTTGAATTTGGTATTTATAGCTCACAAAATAATACATAGCATTATTTTGTATGTTTTTATCAGTATGGTAATATGTAGGACTATCTGGTGTTTTTTTATATAGTATGCTATTATCATACTGTATTTATTCTTTTGAAACTTTTTCTCTGTTCATGTTTGTGAGATTCAATATTAAAGAAAAATTATTTGTGACATTTATTAAAGAACGGTAAGTCAGATTTTATTCAGGACTGTCATAGTAGGTGTAGGGACCACTGCAACAGGGTTTTGCAGTAGGGAGAGAGATTGGGCTCAACTCCAAGTACAACAAGGAAAACTGGGAATTTGTAGTGAAGGAAGGAGTAAGGCAGGTGTCAGTGGGTGGAAAATTACTGAGAGGAAACATCAGAAGTAAGAAGAAATTCTGGCTTCAACAGACCTAACAGGATTCTTGCTGAGGGCAGGCGAGGGTGATCAGACATCACCTGGGGAATGGTGGAGAAGGAGGAACCCAGTCAGAACTCTAGGGAGGGAATCTGACTTCACAGAATTCTTGTTAAAATTGGAAAATGCAGAGATGAACACAGAAGCCCAAGACTCAAAACCTATTTGAAAAGAGGATTCAACAGGACCTGACTAGAGTGTGGTCAAGAGAGAATCATTGTAGTCTGTACTGACAGTTCTGCTTTTATTTTCACTGCTTCACATGTCACCATTTATTAATCCAGTTGTTGTCAGTGCACATTTAGGTTCTTTCTAGTTTTTTGCTATGGCAAGAAGTGGTGCCATGAATATTCTTGTACCTGTCTGCTTGTGTGTATGTTGAGAGCCTATGGGGGAGCAGTATATCTAGGAGTGGAATTACTGAAGTTGTTCCAGCAACTTTAAGTAGGTCCTCATGCTCCTCATCCTCATCCACTCCTGTAGGAGTCACTTTACCTTTCCCTGATTTCTAGTGTATTTGAGCATGTTTTTATATGTTGTGATTTACTTGTCTGAGAATTGTTTCTATATATGTCTTCAGTCATTTTTCTCTTAGTTGCTAGGAGTTTTACTCATTTGTTTAAGTAATGTCATTTAAATATTCCAAATGTATATAAAGTGCTTAGGACAGTGACTGGTACATAATAATAATTTTATAAATGTGAGCTCTAAAAAAGGAAAGAAAGAAAGACAGTTCTTAAAAGCATGGTGTAGGGAGATCCCAGGATGATAGCTGTGCGCAGGCCTAAGAATCAACCAGTTCAGATTAGAGATGAGATTTCTGGAAAAATGTCTCCAAGAAAGTAAAATTGATAAGCACAATATATTTGAACATATTTAGAGATTTTGACAATTAGGGAACTTTGGGCATAAAGTAGTACTAAGTAAATTTAAAGAAACAAAATATAATGCTTATTAATGCCAATAAGAACAAACAGTTATACAAGAAAGAAAAAATAATCATAAGACATAGCAATGCCGTGAGTAGCATTTATGCAATCATAAAAATTTAAGTGCTTTATGTTAATCTAACCAAAATTATCATATAAATGTATTGGGACATGGGAAAATGGGGAGGGGAAGAGAAAATGAAGAAGAGTTAAACTCTCATCTTGCATGATGGGAAGGCTAAAAATGATGCCTGAAGTTAAAACATCAAGACAGCACCATAAGGATGAAGGTGAATACCAAGAGCACAGGTTAAAAGGTAGAAAGTGTCTCTGGGGAGCAGGAAGAAGGGAGGGGTTGGGGAAGGCAGAAGCTCTCTGTTTTTTCTTTAAGCCTTTTTGACTCTTGAATCTATGTGCATATAGACCTCTGATGAAAATCCAAGCTAAATTAATTTTTTAAAGTAACTCAAATCAAACCATCTGATTAGCCAAGAACTAATGCATATCGACCTCATAAAGAAATCAATTGTAAAGACTACCCTCCTATTGACTTTCACAAAGATAGAATAACTTTAATACACATGGGGGGACATTTACTACACTCTTCCAGTCAGTTTTCTTCTAGCTAAATATTAGCTTTTTTTTTTCTTTTCTTTAATCACAGATCTCAGTTCTTTAAGGACAAAATAATGAATCTTGATTGAAAACAGCACACTGTTTTTTGAACTTCGAGTAAAACCAAAGATTTAGTATTGCCACAATTGCAGGGCACACATCAGTCTTTTAATCTGTGGACAAAGAAGTGTATTAAACCCAGTGGTTAACAGGTGTACATCAAATTACATTTCCAGAAGAAGTGATTTTAATATAATTTCACCTTCTCTCTGAACATTTTCCTGGTTATTTTGCCTGATAGTTTGTATGCCTCCTCCTAACCTTGGCACTGTGCATGTAAACTGTTCCCACTGTTCATGGGAACTATGCGATAAACACTGTAGCAATGACTTCCCTTTAATGGTTAGTGAACTAATCCCTAAATACAGTTCATACCTATCTTCAAAATCCACCTGGATTATAAATGTAATGGAAATTTACTGAGCCCGAAACATTTAAAATGGATGGATGAGGACTTGGCTAAGTTTGGAGGGAAACCTGGCCACAGTTTTCACTTCCTTAATTCAATCATGTATTCTGTTCAAGGATAACTATAAGGCTTTTTTTTGTAAATACATTTGTCTTCTGAGTTGATTTATTTTCAAATCAGTAAGCATCAATTTTGATTGTTTTAAGTGCTTAAAGCTACTACCATCAACTTTAATATTTCTCTGAAGTGCTTTGTAACCACAAGTACCCTTCCCTGATATGTGAAAATATTTTTTTATACCAAGAGTAAAATTCTTGCTTTCTCCTTCTTGAAATAGTAAACACAGTTATTATTACATTTTCTCACCCTCTTTATGCCATGGAGTTAATTTGCAAAGTGAAAGAAAAGAAAGATGTAGAAAAAAAGATATTTTAAAGTAAGTTGGCTTATTTTGCTGTCATGGGCAATCTAAAAGTGCTGATGGCAGTAGTTCAACTTAATACTACTACTTATTTTTAAAAATGTCTCTAAGTGGCAAGCCAAAATGTGAGTTGGTTAGCTAGGCAGCTCTAGTCATCCCAACAGCTTCAGTAACTGGTTATTTTTGGCAAAGAGCTGTGGTCTATAAATAATTCAACCTACTTCAGCTAGGTTCTAGCAGCAGGAATTGTCAAAAATTATTTGTGGTGCAAAACTTTATCCAAGATTTACCTTATATCACAGGCAGCATTTCCAGTGCAGCCAGTGCATCTTAAAATAAGCATGTTCATTTTTATACAAATGACCACCTGGGAACAGCCAATCCAGCTGGATGACCAAATTACTATGGTAACTCTCTTTTCTTACCCCTTCTTATCCTTGACATTACCTTCCCTTCCTCCTGATCCCTTTCCCCTGGGACCACACTTTCCCTAGCTCTTCATCTCACACCGGAACCCAGGGCCACTCTAGGATCCTTTCCAAGTCCCTAAAGGCCCACAATGGTAAAAGGAAGGAAGGAAGGAAGGAAGGAAGGAAGGAAGGAAGGAAGGAAG